ACTCATGTGTCCTTCCTTAGGCCTCCATGTTTCTTGTGAGGCATGTCATCTTGTGCATTCATAGTATAAATTCAGTCTTTCTTCCACTACGCTTCCTTACCACTTATTTTTGCTTGATTTTTAGATGACTGTGTGACTTCCTCACTAGACAGTAAACTGTAGGTTTTTTACTCATCTTTGTATTAGGGTGTTTGGCATTGTGCCTGGCACTCTGATGGGTATTGGTGACAACACGTGAATAATGAATTTGCAGAAGAGGAGGTGTTTGGACAGAGGAGGCACTTCCTCTGCCCAGGGCTTGTGCTGTTAACTTACCCACACACAGCTTTGCATCTTCCTCTTTCACTTTTTTTCCCCATGTTTGCTGAGGCCTGACAGTACACCAAGCCCTTGCTGGTGCTTTGAGCCGGAGCTATAGATACCCTGCCCTTCTCAGACAGATGCAGGGAAGAGTGCAGACTTGGAAATTAGTACCAGTTCTGGCTGTGCCTTAAATTCATTGTCTGATGTTGGGCAAATGCCTTGTCTTCCCCACTGAGTGAGGAGGACAATTATGACTACTGTATAAGGACATTGTAATATAATGATGATATATAAAATACCTTGCTGTGGCACATAGGCTATGCTGCATGAACCTTGACTGTCATTGCTGTTGCTGTGAGGGGAAGCAAGGAGGTTTTGAGTCCTGTGGGAGGATCCCAGAATTGCTGCTATGGGGGTGTGGCCTAAGGCCTATCTGGCCATGGACTCCTGAGTGGGCTAGAGGGCTGCCTGGCTCAGTTCTAATTTGGATTTTTCTTGGACTAGCTACTACATCTCTAGGTCTCAATTTCCTTGCTTTCCCTTCCATCCCTTCCTCCCTTCCTTCCTTTCCTTTCCTTCTTTCATTCTTTCTTTTCTTTGTAAGCTGCAGATCCTATCTCTGTCCTAATGCTTTGCAGAGGTGGGGAGGGTAAGAAGGGTGATGGAACAGTTAGTCTTAATAGTAAAGTTATAATGCAGGGTAAATCTGGTTTTAATATATGACAAAATGGACATTAGCCCCATTGTCATGTGGCTAGCATCCAGATACATTGTGTTCTATGGTGGACATAGGGTCTGGTGGATCCAGGTCCCTGCCAGTGTTTGGTTAACACCTTACCATTGATTATGAAGCTTTTTGAGAGCAGCATGTGCTCTCTCAAAGGCCATCTGGAATCTGCTTAGGACCCTGTTTCCAGCCAGCTGTGTGTCCTTGGGCAAGTCACGTTCCCACTCCAAGCCTTCTGTTCCTCATCTGTAAAATTAGGGGGCTGGACTAGAACGATCTCCATGGTCTGGCTCTCCTGTTCCCTAGAGTTCTTTGAGTCTAGTGGAGATAAATCTGGTCCTCAGTGACTGAGCACGCTATGGTGAGCTCTGGACGAGATGGATGTTTGGCACTGTTGCAGTTGTTGAAATAGAACAGGCTTCTGAATTGTGGCCAGAACATAATGAATCCCATTTCTGTAGAACAATGATGATGATGGGACCATTCATGTAGTGGGCTTGTTGACGTGGCTGGCCCATTTGGCTCATCTCCTCGGCAACAAATATTAATGCAAGACTCTGGCAAAGTAGTTGGACATGGTGCCTGAGGAACGTCGAAGCAAAGCCAGGTGTGAGTCATTTGGTTGGTTTCACATTCTCCCAGGCTGATGGGACTGAGGGTCAAGTTTACAGTTGCATTGGTTCAGTAAGTGGGGCTTTCTTCTAGAACCCTGTGCAGGTTCCAGACTGTCAAAGATGGGAGGGGTATTTGGGACCACTTGGTTGAAGGCCCCACTTTACGAATGGGGACCCCAATGCCTAGAAGGGGGAGCACTTGCTCAGGTCTTGCAGCTTGTGAATGGAGGCTTCTGGCCTCTTCTTGACTTCCTCTGTGACTGAGTTAGAACCTACCTATCTGCCCCTTCGGGGTCAGGAAGTTTCTTTCTTCTCAGACGTCCCTGCCAGCCAGTCTGCTTCCTTCCTTACAAGGTATGTTTGGCAGTCTCTCCACCCCAGTCATCAGGGACTCTGTCTTTTGGGTGTTAGGCCTAGATTCCTAAGGGGGCAAGAAAGAACCATTCAAGGATGTTCTAAATAGACGGCATTGAGTCCTAGTGCTGACAGGAGTAATGGTAGGACAGAACATGGGGGTGGGAGGAGAGGACACAGAGGGCTTGCTTTCAGGTAGTGTGCTATTTACCTGAGTGCTCCAGAATGTTCTAGCAGGGGAGTGACCTGATATGAGGCACTGCAGGTGGACATGAACAGGAAGTAGGTGGAGATGGAGACTGCCCCAGCAGCTCAACCAGAGTCAGGACCTGGACCAACGTATGCAGGTGGGATGGAGAAACTTCTGTTTTATAGGCAGACATCCAGGCTTGGTCACTGTAGGTGGTGACACTGAGAAGAAGGGGAGTTGATGATGGTGCCTTGGGCTCTGATTGGATGTATGACTGCTCAGTTGTGACAGGAACAGGATGGCTGCTGCAGTCTGCCCTAAGGGTCTGGCACAACGTCACTGGTGCGTATGGCCTCTGTGTGGTGTTCTGTCAGTACAGTGTCCTTTCTCCCCTTGTGCTACTACCCTAGGAGAGACAGTGACCAGGGGCTGGTCCTACCTTATCTGTGCACATTTTTTTAATCTCAATTTTTGACTTGAAATATGCCTTTGAGATTGTCTTGTCTCTAGTGCGCAAAGTAAAGACTATGGAGGAAGGGCTTGTCACATCCCAATTCTTCCCACCTGCGTAGTAACCCTATCCCACACACTCCAGGTTCTGTGTTAGGCCAAGGAGCCTGGAGGTACAAGTAGAATAAGAGATACTGCCCTTTCTCGGGGCGGGGAATTTATTTTGATTTTAGCCGGGCTAGGGATCCAACCCAGGTCCTCCGGAGTGCTAGGCAAGAGCGCTATCATGGAGTCACACCTCCGTCCCTGGGGAGTTTGTTTAACTGAAAGACAAATAGGAGGCATCCAAGGAGACATGCACAGGGAAGGAAGTTTCAGAATTGGGAGTTCAGAGCAGGCCCTAGGGCCTGGGAAGCCTTCCCAGAAAGGTTGGGCCTTCCCAGAAGAGAAGATAGGCCTAGAAGGTGAGAGAAAATGGAAGAAGGAAAATCCAGACAACAGAGAGAACCACAAAGGCAAGGAGGCTGGAATCTGGGCATTACTAGAGTTCTCTAGGCTGCTCCCCCTAGAATTCCTGCCCCCCTCCCCACCCCTAGGAATTCAATTGCTGGATTTTTCAGGGAACTTTTTTTCCAGGTCTTTTGTGGGCTCTTGCAGCTTGCTGAACCGTGCTGGGTGACAGTGTAACCTATAGAGACTGGAAGGCAGTTCACGAGGAACATTCTGTGCTCCTGGGAAAGTATGTTTGTTGAGGCCTCACTGGTGAGGACTTGTGTCAAAATGTCTCACTGAGAATGAGTTTCTCAGTTGAGCAGTGGGTCCCCAGCTATAGGACCCCATTTGGGAAGTTCTGTATTTGCCCCAAGAGGGTTCCAAGGTTTGTTACTGAAGCGTGGCAGCTATGTGGAAAACAGAAAGGCTGGCCCTGCTGGCCACAGCAGCCTTGCCAAATCGAGGAGCCCAGGGAAGGCCAGAGCCCACCTCCTTTCTCAGCTAGTCCTGCTCTCTGGGCTGCCCGATCCCAGGGCGTGATGATCACAGAGTCTTCCCACACTCACACTTCAACTTCAGCCATGCTCACTAAGCAACGGCCTGACTGACTCTGGGCTTTCTCTTCCCACTATGGTAGCCAAAAGGTTAAATCTTTCACTCTACTGCAGCAGGAGCAGGCCTGGCCCCCAGGACATGGAAGGGTGGGAGCTAGCAGAGCCAATCCAAAGAAGGGGCACCCCAGGTGGGGAGGAAGGAGCTCAGAGGGGAATGGAACCCAACCCGAGGACCAGCTATGAAGGCCAAGAAACCAAAGGGTTAACAGATGCAACTGCGCTGATAAAATGCCCGAAATTCCTGGTCCTGCCTCCAATGAGGAGGGCATCTGGCAAATGTCAACGATAAAAAATACATTTTAATGGCACAGGATGCAGCCGCTACTGTGGGGCACAGCCACTTGAAGCAGGTTTGGGGCGGCAACTACTGTGTGTTCCTCCCGGATCTTCCATGGCTGAGACTCCTGGGCTCTTTACTGAGCTTTGTTTAGCTGGGGTGACTTGCCTCCCCCAGCCCAGGGCCCTTGGTGCTGGGGCCTTCCATAGCTTGTCTCCTACCTCTGTACAGGGAACTCTAGTTTCCCTCTGGCTGGGCCCTGCGTTGGGCAGGTATGAGGGCAGTACATATCCCCTCAACAGGCCCTTGTGAATACTGAGAAAGTCTGGACCAAATGAGTGGTGACGCAGTGAAAACAGAGCCAGATATTTCCCCCAGCTTTTCCCCTTAACCCCATCCTGCAAACTTTTGGCCTCTGAAGCTGCCTTAGTTGTTGACAAATGTGAGAGAAGGCGGCAGAGCCCTCACAGTGGGCATTTCTAGGAAAGGTGGTCACATTTAAGAGGATACCCAAGAGGGATAACTTGGGTACTAGGATCCCATTTTGCAAATATGAAAGTGAGGCTCAGAGAAGTCAAATGACTTGCTGAGGTCACACAGTGAGTCAGCAGCACCCTGACCTTCTTGCCTACAATGCAGAACGCCCCACTGTACACGGTGCTGACCTCACTGGGGCTTTTTAAACTATGAAGGACTTTTCCTGAGTTCTCCATGGCCACAGTAAAAACAACCTGTCACACCAGGGGGTCCCTGGGACCAGATGCTCTTGCTGGAGCAAAGAGGCTGAGTGAGACTGTAGGAATCGAGTGGGGGACCTGTGGACCTGCTTCTTCACAGGAGCCTTAGCACCTTTCTGGGTTCAGGTCTGATGGGGAGGCCCTGGGTCCTTGACTTTTTAGGAGGATAGCTAGCCAGCTGAATCAGGTCAGGGTCCAGTAGGTGGGCACCTGGAGCTCAGAATAAGACCTTTCTCTTCCAGATCATTCTCAACTCCATGCACAAGTATCAGCCAAGGCTGCACATCGTTAAGGCTGATGAGAACAATGCTTTTGGCTCCAAAAACACAGCCTTCTGCACCCATGTGTTCCCAGAAACCTCCTTCATCTCTGTGACCTCCTACCAGAATCACAAGGTACAGCCACAACCCCACAGCCCCTACCATAACACCACCCAGCATGCATACTGCTGTGAGAACAGGAGCCTGAGGCAGACTGGTACAGGGCCTCAGAGAGCTTCCATATTCCTGAGACACTGAGCAAATTGAGTGATGAACAGAAAAGGAGACTAGACACATGAATCTCCAGCAAACAATAATTGAAGGAGTCTGTATTTAGGAAACAAAGTGTAGAAGTGTAAAATGCCAGTTCCTGCTGACCTATCTTGCCAAACTGAGGAGCCCAGGGAAAGCCAGAGCCCATGGGCACCAACTGTAAAAGCTGGGAGCATGGAGCTTGCCTTGTGGTTGGAGGTTTGGGCCCTTTTCTTTGTAGTCTTCCTCCTCTGGTGCATCCACAGGTGGGCCTGCAGAAAGACGGGTAGGGAAAGAGAAGTACTATCAGCCTACTCCCTCCACTGCTTTCCCTCTCAGTCCTACTGTCCTGCCTCTCTGCCTTTGCCCATCCCGCCTTTCCCAGGGTGCTTCCCACGTGTGTAGGTGGGATAAGCTAGGTGGGATAGGCCAGGTGGGCAGGGGCCTTGGGGAAGGACTGTGGTGGATTTTAGGCAGAAGAGTCACAAAGTTAGATTTGCATTTAGGATGGTCACTCAGCATTGAAGCAGCAGTGCACTAGACGGGTGACACTAGACAGGTGTGACATGAATAGGAAGCACATTATTACAAGGATGGATGAGGGCCAGCAGCCAGAGGGTGCAGGAGAAAGAACGGAAGACTAAAACAAGTAGAACAGAGCAGAGCCAGGGACAAGCCAGAAGTGAATGGGAAGGCCAAGGAGGGCCCAGCGTGACCTTCAGCTGGCTTAGGGCTGGGGCACAGCTTCCCCTGAGCCCCTGCCCCAGTTTTCAGTGTGCCTTGGGCTGGGAGAGGAGGGTACAGGCCAACCCCATCCTCTCTCCTCCCAGCTCTTCTACTGTGTGTCCTCTCCTGACAGATCACACAGCTGAAAATTGAGAACAACCCTTTTGCCAAGGGATTCCGGGGCAGTGACGACAGTGACCTACGTGTGGCCCGGCTGCAGAGGTGGGGCTGCCCCGGCCGGGGGTGGGGTGTACAGACTAGGGAACCCTCAAAGCATCTTCACTCTCTCCACCTGTCCTTCCCACCCCTCCAGCAAAGAATATCCTGTGATTTCCAAAAGCATCATGAGGCAGAGGCTCGTGTCCAGCCAGCTCTCGGCCAAGCCCGATGTTAGCCCTCTGCATGGTGCACACCAGGCACTGCAGCACTACCAGTACGAAAATGGGGCTCACATGCAGTTTGCAGCTGCTGAGCCACAGGACCTGCCGCTCAACACCTTTCCCCCGCAGAGGGACTCCAGCCTCTTCTACCACTGCCTGAAAAGACGAGGTAGCACTGGAGGCCTATGGGGGGGGAGGAGGAGGGAGTCTCCACTACACATGGGAGCCAGACTGAAGGCTAGGAACCACAGCCAGGCTCAGGGCCACCTTTCCCCATTCAGGGTTGCTGGTTCCTGCTTTTATGTGGCCTGTAGAATCCTCACAGTCAGCCCATGCCCTGGGCATCCTCAGATGCTGGCCCCTTGCTCAGTCCCAGGTGTTGCTTTGCAGTCCCTGCTGTGGGAGCCTCCTGGGATGGGATTCTATGACACAAAGCCCACTGGGCTCAGACTTGAAGGCAGGAGAAAGCTTCTCAAGCCACGGGGTCCTGAATCATGCTGTCATGTATCAAAGCAGCCTCAGAGCAGGGAGGATCTGCAGTTCTGTTGTGGTGCTCTCTACCCCATCCCGCCAGGAGCTGCACAGACTGCATAGGACCTGAAATGAGCTACTGGAGGTGACTGGGGGCCAGGAAGACTGGCAACAGCACTGTCTGTGCCCGGCTTCTTTGTGACCAGGAGCCCTGGGCAGTTACTCTGCTGCCAGGCCACAATTTCTCCATGGATAGAATTGAGATGATTAATGTTACCCCACCAGAAGGCCTCACCAGGCCACTGAGACTCTTTTGGGAATGAGCCTGGAGACTTTTACTTATAATCTACAATGTGCCTTCAGCCCCATTTCAGGGAACTAGCCCAGCAGAATTCCAAGTAGCCCCAAATACATGTCCTATTTAGAACTCAGGCACTTATAGTACAGATTTGTACACTGTGGCCCTCAAACCAAATTGAGCCTGCTGCCTGTATAATTTTTTGAATGGTTGAGAAAAATCAAGAGATTATTTCATGTGCAAACATTATATAGAATTCACATTTTAGCATCTACAAATAAAGGTTTTGGAACATAGTCATACTCATGCATTTACATTGCCCTCAGCCCTTCATGGGACAACAGCAGAGTTGAGTAATCGTGATACGTACCCAAAGCCTAAAATATTTACCGTCTGGCCCTTTGCTCCTTCCTGACCTAGAGTAACTGGGCCACTTGCCAAGTCTGAGAGCTTAGTGCTGGGGGCGGGGTGAGAAGAGAGAGGAAGGATGAGGGAAGGGTGAGTGGGAGCCAAGTGAGGGAGATGAGCAGGTTCCCCTTGGGAAAGGAGGACACCTGCAGAGGGGTAAAGGGGTAAGGAGAACACAGACTTCAAACTGGCCCTCCCTGCCCTGTGCACACACAGCTCTCAAATGAGTCCTTAGAGAAATGAGAAGAAGAGAGGCCAAGATACGTGTCCTTAAATTTGTCCTCAGGCCTGGGTCATCCCTGGGTCCCAGGGGAGGATATGTCACTCCAGAAGGTTAAGCCCTCCTAGTTGAGGATGTTAAGATACACAGACACAATTTGTAGCATCTGGTGTCATCTTTCCACAGAGTATCAGCTTAGCCTGAAAAATACATCAACCCTTTTCACTTGCTCTTAATGCAGACACTGTTATGTTGGGATCTGTGTGACAACAGTCTGATGTAGGGTTAACTTCCTTTCTAAAAATAAGGGGAACTTTACTACGAGTAGCTTTGGCTTACTGAGGTACTCCTTAGAAACTGAAAACTGAGGCAGAAATATTGTGGCCTTAATTTTATGGCTAATTTAGACAGATATGGTCCCTGGGCCTGGTTGGGCCTAGCAATTGGCTCCACTTTTCTTGGCCAAGGCTGGTGTTGCCCAAACATGCCAGTGCATGTCAGGACCTCAGCATCCTGAGATTCAGACAGCTGTGTGCTGTCTGGCTCTGCCCATCACCCAGTGTCCAGTGATGGGGTGTCTCCCATGGCCTCTGAGAAGTCCATAAGCTGACCACTTCTTAGCCACTGCTGCTTTATAAAAGGCTGTAACTGATTAAAATGGTTCTGGGAGTGCTGTGGCAAAGACAGAAGCTGAATGACAAGGGTAGGCTGTCCTGGCATCTGGTGAGGGTGCACTGGGCCTGGGCTGGTGGAAATAACTCTTCCTGAATATCTGTCTTCCAGCAGATGGTGCCCGCCACCTGGACTTCCCCTGCAAGCGGTCCTATCTGGAAGCCCCCTCTTCGGTGGGGGATGATCACTATTTCCGTTCTCCCCCTCCCTACGACCAACAGATGCTGAGCCCCTCTTATTGCAGTGAGGTGGCCCCCCGAGAAGCCTGTATGTACTCAGGATCGGGGTCCGAGATTGCCGGGGTGTCTGGGGTGGATGACTTGCCCCCACCCCCACTGAGCTGTAACATGTGGACTTCGGTCTCACCATACACCAGTTACAGTGTTCAGACGATGGAGACTGTGCCTTACCAGCCCTTCCCCACACACTTCACTGCCACCACCATGATGCCTCGGCTGCCTACCATCTCTACTCAGAGCTCCCAGCCACCAGGAAACACGCACTTCAGTGTCTACAGTCAGCTCTCACAATGTCAGGTCCGAGAGCGGGGGCCTACTGCCTCATTCCCACGAGAGCGAGAGCGTGGCCTGCCCGCAGTGTGCGAGAGGAAGCCACCCTCCCCGCACCTGAACGCTGCCAACGAATTTCTCTACTCTCAAAGCTTCTCCTTGACCCGGGAATCTTCCTTACAGTATCATTCAGGAATGGGTGCTGTAGAGAACTGGACTGATGGATGACTGCCATGTCTCTTTGACAGCCCCAGGACCATGTCAATCAGTATTAACCCCTGCGGGTGGCTGGCACTACCAAGAAACACGGGAAGGTACTTCAGAGGGTGTGTGTGTATGTGGTGTATGTGTGTGCATGCACTTGTGCATGCATGTATGTATTTAGAGAACATCTATCTTCTGATGTACAACTGAGGCCAGGACAAGGGGGGAAAAACCAATTATAAGTAATTTTGGCTGCACATGTGGGGTCCATTGTTACCTGACATCTCTTGACATGCCCTTGGTTGGGATAGGAGTGGAGGGCTCATAAGACTTACTTAGAGGTTTCTAGAACATAATCTGATTTACTCAGGGGCCTGGTGAGGTCTCTGCCACAGGAAGAGATTCTCTGTGCACATCTAGAGTTCCTGACCTTCCCCTTGCAAGGGGAGCTGCATATCTTGTTGCGGGAGCAGAGAGCCCCCTCCTTTGACTTCTGGAGATTTTGTGAGACCACCTGAGGTTCCAAGTGTCCTCTGAGAGTAGAGCTGGCAGCTCTGTGAGTGGGCTGGGCATTGAGTCCCAGAACTCTGAGGTCTGAGGGATGCTTTCAGAAAGAGTCAAGTGCTGAATGCCACCTCATGGGTGTTTTTTTTTCCTTTAAGAGGAGGGAAATGCAACCAGTAGCATCTCTGTCATCATCATTCAGGTTTTGTCATAAAGTACAAAACCCTTCCCTCTGGGTTCCCAACATACAGTCTGTCTTTGGTGTATGAGATTTGGCCTGTTAGGCACTGTCTGCATCCTGTGACTGCAGTTAAACACAACTCACATGGCAGAGACCTCCAGAGACCTCATGAGAGCAGAGGTCAGGCATCTTCTGGGCCTGTTCTGCCCCCAGAAAACCCACGCTTCTGGAGCAAAAAAGCCCTGCAGAGATTTTAAAAAAAGAGAGAGAAAGAGAATTGAGAAAAATTAATTTCTTTAGAAAGTTCAGCCAATGAGCTGAGAGGAGCAAAGATAATTCTTCTCCAATGGGATGATCTCAAAGTCCTCAGCTTTGTTCTTTAGCAATTGAATGTCACTAGATCACCGGGGTGGCTGGTGTGAACTCTCAAGCAAATTTGGGAAATCACTAAACTCTTTGCATGCTGAATAGCTATTTATATATTATATAAATAAATATATAAATAAATAAATATATATCTCACAAATGCGAGCCACATGTCAATTTCAGCTTTGCTTTTTACAAATGAATAAGCTTAATAAAAATGAATGCTGGAGGGAGTATTTGGAAAGACATCTATTTAAATTTTTATTACATGTTTGATGCTAAAAACTAAGAATGGTTTAGATAAAACATATATATATATTATATAAACACACAAAGATAAAGCTTTATTAGCAAACACATTAGCTAACAGGTGATATGGAACTTCAAGTGTTTTGTTATCTAGCATGGACATTTTATTTTACATATTGGAACATAAAGCCATCTTACAACTGTGAAGTGTGTGGATGTTCTTTATTACTGGCTTGTCATCTCTTGGTGCAGCAATGGTGTCTGCCTCCCCTTTTGCTTGCATTTTTTTTTTTCTCACATCCAAGTGAGGCTCTCAGTGCCTCCCTGAGCATTTGTGCCATGGAGCCCCTGAGCTCTGAGTGAAGTAGGTTCAGAAGTTCCTTTGGTCTCATGCTAGTTCCCAGCCTCAGGGGCAGATTCCAGACAATAAAAAGACCTCTTAGCAGTTAACACAACCCTGGCAATTTGGGGGCGATAGTCTCAGAAGTAGAGAATTATTCATGCAGCTGCTTCAGAAAGAAACTGAAGAGCAAGCTAGAGTCCCAGTGTGGGGCCTCCTGGAGCAGCTGGATGTGAGTTCATCAGCTACCTTCACCCCAGTGAGGATGAGGCAAGGCCTGGCAAAGGCCTCCTCGTGCCCTTGACTTTGCCAGCTCCCCGAAGATGGGTCACATGATGGAGAAAGCAAGAGGAGATGAAGCCCAGTCTGGGCTCACCCCACCAGATTAGCAGAGGAGCAGGTGCAGGAAAGTATGGCTAGGTCTCCCTTCTTGCAACCCCTTGCCTCTTGCCCCTCACCCTCACGCTCCTTCCTCAAAGCTGCTCACCCTCAGCCACCATCTCTACTGAAGGCTGGTCTGGAATCCCAGTAGAAGAGAGGCAAGGGTTGGGGTGTGGTTTGATCCCCATCCTCATCAGGACTGAGAGTTCCTGCTGGCTCCCCTGTTTCCTGTCCCAGGGTGCTCTCTGGCTGGGTTTCTTCCTGAAGATTGCAAGGCCAAGCTCCTTCCTCCCTCACTTGTTGGCTACCACCTTGGGATTGTTGGACTCAGGAAAAAACTGAACTGAACTTGGCTGGGGAACAGGCGGGTTGGTGGGGGGGGGTGCTCTTCCTCATTCACACCTGTTCTGCATTTTCCTTTTTTCAAACACCATCCTGCCTGGGATATTCCACACCTTGTAGAACCCAGGCACAGGGCTAGACTTATGCTCCCCAGTTTTTCTCTTTCTCTCTCTCTCTCTCTCTCTCCTCTGAGAGGAAGAAAGCCACTCCTTAAAGGGGTATTTTGCTTTGAGGCAGCCCACAGCTTCCTACCAAGGGCTGCCCCACCTGGGCATGGCGAGAGCCAGGGCTGCAGTGGGATTTGTGGAACTTTCCTGCCCCTCTGAATCAATAACTCAATAAAAAGGGGGCACATGGGATCCTCTGGAACAAAGGGCACTATTCAGTAGCACCAGCAAGTCATACATCATCGGCCCAGAAGCCTGCCACATGACAAGGGTCTGCTTCTACCATGCCCTGCCTGGGAAGGGAAAAAGCCCTTCACCATTCAGCTGCAGAGCCACGGACAGGCAGCCTTCAGGACTCTGCTTCCAGCCCAGAGGCAGCGCAGCTCAGCCACCGAGGCCCTCAGCGGCAGAAGAGGCTGTGCTAACAAAAGGGAGAAAGGAAAAGAGAAACTGACAAATTGTTAAAAAACCAAACCAACTTTCAGTCTCGGCTGGGCCTCTGGGGTCAAGAGGCCTCAGCTCGCCCCACTAATGGAGCCTGCTGGAGGAGTAGCAGCCCGGCCTTGCAGTGTCTTATCTTACAACATAAAATTAAAACCCACTTAAAAGGCCGGAGGGCATGTTAACATTCCCCCTGCTGTCTAATTGAAGTAGTTCCCAGTGCAAAGGATTTCACTTGAAAGATGTCTCCCTCCAAGCCCCTGCTCTCCTGCCTGCTGGTGGGGCCTGGAAAGGGGGCGGGGAAGAGAGGTTGTCATTTCAAAGAGCTGCACAAACTCAGGCTGGCAAAAGCACAGTTTCTGCTCGTCACCCTCCTGGCCAGGTGGCAGGTGGCGACAGCAAATAGAACAGGCTAGGTTTTTTTTTTTTTTTTTTTAACTTACAAATTCATTAGCAGTTATGTCAGTAGAGGCCAGACTCCCGACAAGAAGTGCTGGTAATGATTCAAATACGGCTAGCTCTGCAGTGAAAGGCAGCAGCTCTGAAGGCCCAGAGGTTTCTGTTCCATCCCCCCCACCCCTATGCAAATATATTACAGGTCTCCAAGGCATACGGAATCAATCAGAGACATCCTGTAAAGGTGATGAACTTGCACTGGCCATCCTGAGTAATGGGAACCAGTCAGCCCCAAGCTGGCTGGGACTGAAAGCCAAGGTGACAGCTATTAAGCAATTGTGCACAGAACAAAATGGCAGAGGGGTAATCAATTCAATTTCGATGGGCGGCCCAGGCAACTACAGCATCTGTCGCCGCTGATTAGAGGGGGCCGGGCTGGAGCTTTCAATGCGAGCCCATCACAGATCAGAAACAGGCCCGGGATGAAAAGGGAAAGAACGTCTCCTGAGAAGCGGCGGTGAAGGGACTCTGTTTTATGTGACTATTCCTTCTCTCCTTGAAGAAAGAGTAGGGGAAAAAGCCCGTAGCTTGGAGATTAGATAGTTTTCTTTTAAGCCATTTATCATTATGAAGGAAAGTAGACAGGGCAGGGGCAGAAAACTCTCCAGTGGGATTTCTGTGAATTCTCACTAAGAAGGACCAGGTTTACACCGTGCAGCTCAAACAGTCCCTGCCTGTTACCACAGCCTGCCGGCGTCTGCAGAGCATCCAGGGTCCTTCTTCTCCATCGAGGGCAAATAGGCATTAGGGCCCAGAGGATCACAGAAATTCTCCTGCAAACCCCCCCAAACCACCATATTGTATCATTTGTGAAAATTAAGGCCTAAGTCAGAATAATGGAGGAAAATGGGAAAGGAAAGATGAGAGTTGCATGAAGTCCCAGCAGGCAATGCCCCAGGAATGGCACCCCCACTCTTTGCTGGGTCCAGGTCAGAGCAGCAAGGGCCCTTGTAGTGTCTGTTACCTGTCAGCACTGATCCCAGGCAGATGATAGCCCCTGGCAGCCTGCTGGAAAATTCTTGGCTCAGACTTGGTTGTTCTGTTCTCCAAAGTGAGGGCCTCAGGGTGCAGAGCAAGAGATGCCCCAGAGGCAGAAGGTGGTGAGGGAGCAGCCAGGATGACTGGGCAGGGATGAGAGGCTTGTGAGCAAAGGCAAGGGGCACAGACCAGGAGGAACAGGCCATTTTTGGAGCCAAGAGAAGATGGGGGATAAAGACCTTGGACAGGAGGCAGGACTGAGTTAGAGAAACAGAGCGAAAGTACACGTGGTCAGTTCTTAGAAGAGGGAGGAATTACAAATGGATGATTAACCCAGACAAAACAAACCTCACCAACAATCTAAACTGCAGCCTACATGTTAATATACCATGTTTGTCTAACAGATCAGCAATCATTGCAGTGGAAGCCTTTCCCAGTCATTGCTGGTAGGAGATTATTAGTTTTCTGGAAAAAGCAATTTTGTAGCCTGGACAAAGACTTTAAAAGGGCCCATATCCTAAAAAAAAAGAAAAAGAAAAAGAAAAGAATAACCAGAAATGTGGACATAGCTTAATTCTCTGTAGTGTTCATTGTGGTATGATTTTTTAAAAATCCCTCA